TAGCTGGTGCCCAACACGCACAAATATATTGTTGTTATCTGTAGTAGTGATAAGAATGATAAGTTTGCATCAGCCATGCTGAGATAATATATTTATATTATATTATTTGCGATTAGTGGTACACTGGTACTAGTGGTAGCCGGTGGGATAATAATGGACGATTATAATAAAATTGGGACTTCGGTAATGTAAAGCTGCAATTCTTGATGGAAATACAGTATGCTACATGAAATCGGTAAAAATCGCTTTAGTTCAGAACACGTTCAGTGATAACGGGCCTTATCAGTGATTTTATCCATCAGACAATCGGGTTTTCATTTTTATAATTTTATTGAAACTACGATGTTCCGATGCATCAGTGCATTCGATGCGCTGAATTTAATAATATACGATGCATTTTGGAACATATTTTATCATTTCGATGGCAATACGTATCCACAGCGTTGGCGCGTTGCATTACCGAAGGCGCAATGCAATAATATTGATAGGGCATTTGTATTTTGACGTATAAAGTAGTCGTATAATCAGATGTTTAGTACAAATTAAGAGGACGTCTCACCGGATGTGTTGTCTCCGCTTACACACGTACGACATGGCAAATGTTCGTTTGCTAGTTTCAAAAGGGTATTTTCAGTTTTGATATTAGAGTGAATCGACCTATTATCAAACTTCTAGGTAACAACATTATCTGTGTTCTCTAGTTAGTTTTTTACGATATTTTAATTTTTAAGGTGAGTTATGAACATTTTAGAATATGGATACTTTACATACCCATAACTCACCTTAAAAATTTAAATATCGTAAAAAACCATCAAGAGAACACAGATACTGTTCTTACCTAAAAGTTTGATAATAGGTCAATTCACTCTAATATAAAAACTGATAATACCCTATTGAAACTATCCAACGAACATTTGCTATGTCGTATGTGTATAAGAAGGAGACAACACAGCGGGTGCGACGTCCTCTTAATACGAACTAATAGATACATATATGATATATGTAGGTATATATAACATATACACAATACATATACATATTCATATACGTACAAATTAATATTAAAATGACATATATGCAACAAATATAAAATAAAGTAATTTTATTATGAGTTTTAATTACGATTGATTAATAATTATTATCGTCGTCAATTGTCAATTATTGGTAATTTAGCTATATAGGTATAGGAGAGGTATGTTTACGACTTTTGCTTCATTTTTCCTATGATCCTATAAAATGCTATCTTAGCTAAAATTTAATTTTATGTTTCAGATGATTGATTCAGAATATATTAATTTTATTTTGCATTTTTAGGCATTAAAGAATTTTTTTTGGTTATTTTTGATACTTTTTTAGGTTATCAACATCTTTTCTCTAGTTATATGAATTTGTCATTGTAAAACAATCTGAATGGAAAAATCTATTGTAATTGTCATCAAAATATTAATTACAATTTTGTGGTAGGTCATCTAGCAAACAATATTAAAGATCATACTTATAGTCGCTAATTTATATAATAAAAAATAGGAGTGTATCCAGTATTAAAGTCGTAACCTTTCTGGAATATGTACAATATATTATATATTTATTTATTTATTTGTTTGAGTTATTTTACTAAATTACCTAAAGGGACACGATTTGGACACCCTAGTAAATTATATTAACAGACCATGTGTAGCATAAAAGACTCATACTGTACGTGTGAGAGGGTGTATGACCCATAAAAGATGCAGGTGCAGTGTGCACAGCTGAATATGTCCATGTTTGTCCCACATGTATAGGGCAGAGATATACGTAGTATAGAGCTGAACCGACTTGTTCTGAAATCGAGGATCTTTTGTGATATTTAATATCCTGCAATATCATTGTTATCGTTTTATGTTGATTATAATTTACTTGAATAGTTTCGAAAGTATTCCCAACAATTACTGTATTAGGCAGTTAAGACACACCTAATAAGTTTCATGTAAAAATAACTTTAAGTTACCTATGTAGGTAGCTAATATAGTAATATGATAAATTACTTTAAGTAATACATATTAATTATTGTAAATTGTAATAATATATGGATACATATTTAGTACTCAATGGTAATAACTAATAATATATTTATAATTATTAATCGGCTAAATGCCTTATGCCAATTGCCAATGAAGGTGAAAAACTATGTGTTAGAGTCCGTTTTGAATAAGCGTCCTCGGCGATTGTTAAGAAATAAGAATATAATAATACATTTTTCGTTTTACGGATTTATCGCCATTAATATTTATATATATATATAATATTTATTATGTACCATATTATTTTTATTCACCAATGCACGACTGGTTTTAAAATCTTTTGCTGAGGTCAATATCCTTATTTTGTTATTGGCAACTGTCCAAAAGTGTTTAGAATATTTTTCATGAATATAAAAAAAAGGAAATTGTGTCGTGGATTATGGTTGACTGGTTGAGGCTAAGGCAATTTAATCATTGATTTATATCTAAGTAATATATTATTTTGTATTATTACTTATTTTACACTTACAGTATTTGTGGAGCGATTTAATTTGAAGCAACATCTATGTTTTGATTTTTCGTCAACTGTTTATAGTAGGTAACCATTTATTTAACTATTTTAACACTAATAAATAAATCACTGGTTAAATGTAGGTATGGTATATTGTATTAGGTATACATTGTCACAATTAATTACTTCATTAATTATATTTTTAAATTATTTCGTCTTTTAGTTAAAAATTGCAAATTGCAAGGAATTAATAGATAACCTATCTTTGATAGATGAACAATAATCATCCCTCCATTCTTTTATATTTGAATAATAACTTAATATTACATTTTATAATAAACCATTAAACATATTGTTTACTAGCGTCTTTAAAACTGAGTAGGTACATATATAGAACATATAATTTTGAGTTAAGTATACTCAGTAAACTGAGTATTATTTTATTCAGTTTAAAATGATATACTTATTTACTTATATATTATATTATTATACATAATATATATTATAGAAATAACAAAACGGTATAAAATATTAAATATGATGGCAAACTTTAACCATTTATACTAATCTAACAATAGTACCTGTATTATAGTATAATAGTATACATTCTAAGGTCTAATTTCTAACCAGAAAATTGAACATTTTATACAAATAGCCAATAGGCGTTTGTTTATAAAACACGATGTACACAACACTAGTACGCTAAGCTTGTTGATTTACATTACCTATATCATATATATTTTTTAAATAGTATATATTTTATAAGAGTATCATTGAACCACGACCTTATTTTTAAGTAATTTTAAGTGAACAATAATATAAATATTAATGTTAGTATCTATATTCTAGTATTCTATATAATACATATTCAATGATTATAATAACTTGTTAAAACTACACCGAAAATGTGTTAGACCAAAATCATTAGTGTAAAGCACGATTTAAGATAGTACTATCTTAAATCGTGGTGTGATGTTAAGGAGTAGATAAAGGATCATGTAGGTACTCATGTAGGTATATAATGTATAATGATTACCTATAGGTACCTTTACTAATTAATAATATAAGAAAGTAAGAAATGAACGTTCTCCAATGATTAATGAACATAAATAATTGAAAATTATATTGATAAAAATCAAATCAAAAATTTTTACCTGTAATAATAGGCAAGTATCAACAAATAACTCAGTTTTAAGAGGTCATCACTTCCAGGGCGAAATTTTAAACTCAGCCACAGGCAAAACTTTGCAAAAGTTAACCTGGATATTTCTTAGGTTAAAAGTTATTGGTAATTCGACTGGTATAAAAAAAAGTGCCCTGATATTCTCCTATCTAATATTAAAATGTTAGTATTACCTTATAATATTTTATAATAATTTTGAGAACTATTTGTCCATTTTATATTACCAAAGGACACACGAGCTACGAAGAGGCAATTCTCATTATCCTCCAAAAATTATTTTATTCAATCGACAATAATTGTGATGGTTATGTAAACATCGTTTCAAAAATTAATTAATTTGTCTCAACTTTAAATTATATTTTAACAACACATTGTCCATGATAAGATATAGGTGCGGTTATTTATTATTCTCAAGCTAAATCATGCAGAGTTTATTATATTTTATCCGTAAAAATTATTAGCCGAGTTTACAATCGATCTTTTTCATTGCCCTCTATTGCCGGCTGAGCTTATATTTTGTCCCACACCCAATAGTGCTGACTGCGGCTGGCCACAGAACAATAAATGTCTTACATTTGTGAAATGGACAACATATCAAAATTGCGTTCAGCAGTGCCAATTGGGTGTTGTATTTGTATTAGTTTAATTATTAGAGTGAATTTACATATCAAACTTAACGTAAGAACATTATCTGCGTCTCGTTGGTTTTTTACAATATTTAAATGTTTAAGCGAGTTATAACTTATGAGCATTTTTATATGTTTTTAAAAGGTTACATACTCATAATTCGATTAAAAATTTAAATATCGTAAAAACCAACGACATAACACAGATAATATTGTTACCTTTAAGTTTGATAATAGGTCATTCTAATATTTAAACTTAAAATACAAAATTGGAACAATGAAACTGCTTAACGTAAATGTCAATTTTATATGTGTTGGGGAGATGGATACATTACAATATATTATGTGGGAGCAACGTCCTCTTAAGAATAAAAAAGAAAATTATTCTAAAATGAAATAATATTCAATATAGGTACTAATTTGAATTTTGAATACCTATAGGCTATAAGTACTTCTAATATTTTCAAATAGTAAAATTTTATTTTTCAATATTCACTATCGTTTGGTTTATTTAATTTGAGAATATATTGTTGATTGTTCTATTCTTTAAAGTGATTTAGTTATGATTAGATACATGTCATGTGGTACTAGGGTTTCACATAATTTGTTAACCACCGATATGCTGCAAACATCTGAAAATAAGAACAATAATAAATAATACTTGAACTCGACGGTCAGTATTATTGTTCTATGTTATCAAATCTCCCTTCTAGTAGTTCATCTAACCACTCTAAGAGATTCGTAGCCACTGAAGCGAAATCTTCCCACTGCTTGTACTCTGCCACTTTCTCCTCGTTCGACGACAATAACTCACCAAATAATTGTTCTTCGTCTAATAAATGATATAATAATTTCATTAAACAATTTTAACGAATATGTTCTCCGATTCCACATTGCTTATTATATTATCGTGTCATCGTGATAAATTGTTGATTGTGACTCTTACCTGTGAGTTTGACCAGCGTGTCGAGTACTACCATAGGGTCACCAGGAAAACGGTCACTGCCTGAACACACGTTCCACAGGGTTTGGCAGATAAGCGCTGACAAGGTCCAATTGTTTTCACCCAACGACCTAAGAATGTTTACCATTTTTGAAACACCGTTGTAATTTTTGAACGCTTCTCGGTTGTTCTCGTCAGAAGTCATATTAACCAATACGCCGCAACATACGACCAGTAATTCCTTGTCGCCACTATCCAAGCAGTTGGTTACCGCCAATAATCCTGAAATACGTATGCAGTTGGCCAGTGGTGTATGAGTAATTAAGAGAATATTTTTAGGTAGTACCTATGCTCATTAGTTATTATGGAGTAGATTCTTGGAATTTTTAAATATATTTAAAAATTTTATTTTAAAAATCTTGGGATAATCTCTGTACTATACTTAAAGGAGTGTCCTGTGGAGATACAAACTTATGTTTTTCAAATGAGAACTCCCGTTTACAACCGTTAGTTATTTAGTGGATCATTTTTTTGAAACTGTTGACGTATCAAAATCAAAATTTGCACGAGTAAGTTGTGAGTTATTTAATTTTGAGTACTAAGGATAATATAGGTCTATGAAAATGGGTTTGTAAGATATGGGGGCTATGGTGTTTTGAACATTTGTTAGTATTAATCTATTAACATTAATAATTTGTAAACATTGTCAAAGTATAATAAACACTGGATCCAATATTTCACTTATTTTATATTTTTTTAAAACCATTTTTAAGGACTATTATCCTTTAAACGGGGTGACGTGAACTGATATAGCAAGGTTCATAAGCCAATATTTTTTTTATCAACCTAAATAAAATTACACTATTAAATACTGAAAAATCTAAAATGATAACATTATGGAAATAAATAATTACCCTTTCTGAATGGAGGAGAAATTATTTTGATTTCAATGAAATTCCACAATACCTTTTGAAGAATAAGTTAAAGGGGTCGTATTTCAAGCACAGTCTGAGGTTGGGGGGCTGAGTCCTTTTGTGCTAATCCCACTTTAACCCCTGTCCCCTGGAAATATGATACGGTGGTAACCTATAGTTCTAAATGTGACCCAAATATAACATATATATACTAGAGTTGTATGGGCAGCTAGCGAGGTTTTCATACTCGTATGTATATTATTATAAAATTTTAATCAATGATATGAATCAATGCACCTGCAGAAAAAATATACTGATAGCGAAGCTCGGTATATCCAAAGTTGGCTGATACTTGTATAAAAAACGTATATTTGGTTTTATTTTTTCAATGGTCAATGGTTTGTTTTCCGTTCCTAGTCTAAATATCGGAATTTTAAGAAACCCATATGGAATATATTCACTATTCACTTGTTTTTAATTTCCAATCTACAGAGGTATCATATTTTTACGATCCAAGTGTTTCACAAGCATAGTTTGGAAACTAACACATTCCTCACTTCACTTAGAATATACAATTAAATATTATTAAATATTGCGTTTACCACTAGTCTCCAATAAGTAATCTCGAACTGCAGCTGATCTTGTTAAGTTTCCAAATACTCTAGCTACCTCCACTTTGCAAAACTGATTTCTGGTTGTAAGTAACAAACTCAATGCTAAAACAATATATTTTCAAACAATTATAATATCGTATTTAATACCTACTAACATGGCTACATAGGATATAATAATTTTGCTTATAAATACCTTGTGTTATATCTAACTGACGAGCGCCAAAAGGACCATGATTCGGATTTGACATGTCCGCATAATATGATAAGTTGTTCAAAGCTGCTAACGCAGCGAGTACAAGCTCTTCGTTTTCATCAATAGATTTCCGCCTAAGTATAGTCAATAAAGAATCTAAAAATTGTTCACATTCTTTAACTTTGTGAACTGGATGATAATCGTCTGCCGCCTTTACTAATTTAGCACCAATTTCCGGTTGTATGCTCATATTTACTATGACACGTATTATCTATATTAACCAAGTATACGTTAATTTTTTTCATATTTTAAAACAAAAGGAATTATTTTACTTTGATAAGCACGTCCTCAACAATGTTGAATTTAACATCACGTGATATATTGTTTAAATCTTTTTCCAAGTATAATTGCATTAAATTCAAAAATGTTCCCATAGAGCAATGTGTTTCGTATAACTATATAATATAAAGTTATACAAAGTACAAATTGTATTATTTTAGTTGGTAACAATTTTCAAGTAATATTACTTGGTGTCTAGCGTTTTCATTATTGGTCAGTATGTTTCCTAATGTATAGGTAATACGAACTACAATTTCTTCTTGCCCCGGGTATTTGTCTATTATTGACATTAATACGGATACATTTGACCAGCAATCCACAAGTGCTTCGCAGCATTTCCCATCAGTGGACATAATGCTGATAAAATTAATTAATATGTTATTATTTTTACTTAACAAGTTTATAACACATTAATATAATAGGTACCTATATTAATTGTTCTACCTAAATATATATGCATTATATTTATTATTATGGATGCCGTAATAAATATTTTCGGTACCTTAAAATTCTGGAAATGTTTGTAACCACATCAATATCACCAGAAAACAATTCCAAAGCACGGTATATAGTCAACAAACCACCGGAAGACAAAAGTTCAACGTACAATTTTCTGTCGTTGACTACATTTCTGAGAGTACCAGTTAACTGGTAAAGTACGTGGTTGATGGTCTCCGGCAACACTTGCCGTTCTGTTCTTTCTAAATTTATCATTTTTAAATGTAACAGCATTAGCGATAGACAACCGTTATTCATGGCACGTTCCATTAATTCTGGATTCATAGTAAGAAATTTTAAAGCTCCGTAACCGTAAATCAATGACTCTGCATCTTCGCGTGGAGTAGCCAAGCCAAGTATATCCACAAAAAGGGTTAACACGTTGGTTTTGAGGAATAAATTATCGTTTTTGTCTAAACGAGATATTTTGAACATTAGTTTGCAAACAGTTGCTAAATATTTTCCAGTCACTTGCATCTAAAAATCAACACTTACTTAATTATTGTATATTTTGTATTTATACATCGAAAATAATTTAAATTACCTGAAGTAACACTAATAATATATGAACAGTAAGATCATCGTCTGGTGAATTGTTAACAAGTTTAAATATGGTTTTCAATATAGTTTCTTTTTTATTTTCGTCACGTATTACCGATAGGTTTTCACGTTTTATGGCCATTGCTAGCTTATTTAAAAGTGAGCACATCTCGCTAGTTTCAAAGTCTACAAATATAATTACATTTTAAAAAGTACCTACATAAAACTTATTTATATTTTACATAATATATATTAATATGTGTATAAATCATGTAATGTATTAATAATATTTGTACATTAGGTTTTGGTATATGGAATTTTTATAATATATGGAACTACCCTACTACTGAATTTGACTTAAATTTTACATATTAACTAACTATTAAACTTTATATCTATAAGCCAGTTAATTAACAGGTCGATTTCGGATTTCGGTATCAATATGTCCACGTATACACTCGCCAAACAGGAGGATGATATGGGAGATGGATCCCCCATGATCTTTTTTTATGTTTACTATTAGTTAGTGCTACCCTGTGATTTATCTTAGAAATGAAAAAATGAATATTCCCAATGAAAATTCCTGTTTACGTCACTGACATATTATGTACTTACTTAAATAATTATTAATTACTATAATAGTAGGTACCTATCATATAATAATATAATGATAATAGTAATAATTGTCAATTGAGTAATATGATGTATTGATATCACAATATATTATACAATTATATAAAATAAGAATTATTAAGTGATTCACTAAACATGCCCACTAGTTTATGGTGACTGGTAAATGATAATGCAATACAAAACCCATATCTACTCCAAACCCATACGCTAGTATTGCTTCACATCAAACTATAAAAGTAATGAGTACCGATAATGACTAATAGGCATGTTTAGATCGTTACTCTGTAAATATTAGGTATACACCTAGGTATTAAATAATTAAAAAATGAATTTTAATAGCTGAAAATTAAAATTATTATATGAAAATTAAATGAAAATTTTATAAATTTAGTTAAAATAATATCATTATATCAATAAGTAATAAGTAATAGCTATACAAGTAAGTGTGAAATAAATTGTCACCCAATACTTTTTTTCATTTTGGTTTCAATTAATGATATGATCCATAAGCAGTCAGTGTCGACATCAAAACATAATGCTCTCGCTTCGTTGATTTCGTTTTCATGGCTCATGTATTCATGATCGTATACGTTTTGTTCATAATGGTTCTAAAATGTTTTGTTCATAACGATTAATTTAAAAATATTTCAATAATTAAAATTATTATTATATAATTTATTAAATATACCTACCTACCTAATTTATTATAATTTAACATTTTTAACTAGGTAAATCAGTAATATTGTATGGTTTTAATTTATTTTAATTATCCAGCTTTTATTTTACAATATTAGGTATAACCAAAACATAAAGCCACTTATTTAAAACAGGGCACATTGCTAATCTACCTGTTGAAATTATTCTATCCATTAATGTATATATAGGTATATATATATATTTTTAATATCAATATTTTATTATTAATTTTTATTTAAATTACAATAATTATAATGTGTTTTTAACTTTTTGTTTTTTTTTTTGCGTTTCATCAGTCATCGGATTATCACCGTTTGGAGCAGTAACATTGTTTCAATTTTCATATTTTTACTGGTGTCTAGTAACAAAATTAACGTAGATTGTACTTTCTTCTAACATTTTTTTTGTTATTCCAAAATTAATAGTTGGATAGGTAGGTACTTGCATTTTTCAACAATAATTATGTTAACATTTTCTATAGACATGATATAATTTTACAATTATTTTGGCTATATTAGTGCTATTGATAGATATTTGAATTTTTGTTTAATTTTGTACATTTAATACAAGGTTCCTCATAGATTGTCCATACCTCAATTAAAAATATCGAAAACACTATATTTTTGTAAGAGTTTAAAGTTAATTTTTTTTATGAAATTCTTCATAATCAAGACAATTTTCAATTTTTTAAGTACCAAGTAAAGATTGATAGGTATAATTTTAGATTCTGAGCTGAACTATGAATGCATTGATTTTATAATGATGTGTATTTTTTTATTTATTTGTTATTTTTGTGTCTGTCATCATCGTTAAATATACAATTCCCAGTAGTTTCCAAGTTAAAATTCAAACTTTATGTCCGTAAACAGTTCAAAACAAATTAAAATATTTTGAAAATTGCATCGTGTATAGAAAATGCTCATATAAGCAACCAGTGAAAATTGAATAAATCTACAGTTATTTGTTTTAGAGTTACGCCCTTACGCCGACTACTAAAATAGATTTTGTCGAAAACCAATTTTAAGTAAAAATTTCCGTTTTTCCTTAATTTTTATTTTTTTTCTTCCTGCGCTTTAGAAAACTATTGGAAATTTTAAGTATTAATCTCTCGAATGCACCAACTTGATTCACTTTCCCATCAAACAAGATTATACTGTTGAAGAAAATCGAAGCAATTTTACTGTCCCAAACGGCTGACTGGCTTGTTTATCAAAAATATAAGGTATAGTAATTATAATTTATAAAGTCATAATTTTTAAATTGTTTAAAACTTAAGTACATATTGGTTATAAATTATCACTACATCAATAAGATGTTAATAAGGCCAATAAGGGTGCTTAATCTAATGATAATACCTATTCGATTTTTTTTTACCTATAAAGTGGGTATAAAATATTAAATAATATTGATTTTTATATTTTAAAACTCATAGTTATGATGTAATAGGTAAGTACCTATCTTGTATCTATGGATACCGTCTACCAACAACTGTATCTGCATAATACTTTATAATGAATTATTAACATAATAATAGTGTACTAAATAGTAGGTAGTTATATAATAATATTATGGATTCTTCGTTGAACATCGAATTAAATAGAGTAATGCAAGTTGTATTAGAAGCAATCAGGATCAATCGATCAACGACGATGGACATATTATTAGATGCATTAAAATTAAATTATCCAAACGTTAACACCATTCATTTGCGGTACAAGCTCAATAAAGTGATTCGTGAGCTAAAAACAGAAAACGTAGTTCATGAAATCAAAAAAAAAAAAATAGACTTTGGTCAAAATGTCCATTGTTGGACTCAAAATATCGGTTTGATTGATTTGAGTATGATTCAGTGTCTGAAAGTACTTGATCAACTTTTAAGTGAAATGTAGGTAATGTAGGAACATGAATAAATATTTTGTTTCTAAATGAATACTTTTATATAATTTCTGTTTAGTAAACAGAAATTAAAATCAATTTTTTTAATAGATTGAAGATCAATTTTTGATACCTAGTTAAAATTTTAAAATACAATACATATACCTACATAAAAAGAAAAGTATTAACTTATATAAGTAGGTAATATAAAATTATATTATAACTCATATTTCATAAGTAGATTAAAATTACCTACCTAACATAAAAAATAATGTAATGTATACATAGGCGTGCGCAGCCTCCGGTTTCAGGGGCAACAAGAGATTAATTCGGCCCATTTTTCAAATTCACCATTAAAACCTGCCCATAGTTTTACTTTTTTTACTATTGGATATAAAAATTAAAATTGTATTGGTCATTTGTTTTTTTGGATAAAAGGTTGTACAGTAAGGTACTAAGCCACTAAAGGTGTACTTTTCTACAAGCATATATATAAAATATTTATCTATAGTTTATCAAAACAAAAAAAATCCATTGTGGAAATATAATTTTACCGAGGCCCATTATTTAATATTTGCCGGCCCCGGTGGCCCCAAAGTAAGTCCAGGGGCAGCATATGCTGCCTCTGCTGCCCCCGTGCGCACGCCTATGAATGTATAGCAATGGAAAGCTGTAGAGCTAGAGGTCATATACCATAGACTATAGACACAACTAGACCTCTAGGCCCTTAATAGTTAAGTTAATACTATAATAATTATAATATAGGTATATATTATTAACAATAATTTAAAATGTAGGTATATTTAAATTGTATGTTCTAGATAACAATATGAGAGAAACAGCAACAGATTAAGAAAATGAAATTGTCACAACAATAAAATACAATTCAGCCTATGTATCTTTAATATTTTAGAACTTTGTTATCTTTATAGATAGGTATGTATTTTTTATTTCCAAAAAAACAATTTGAACCAAATGTCTTTTCATTTTCAATATTACATTTTGAATAGATTATTAAATACTGGCATGTACCAGTTTCCCCCAAAAGTACCTTTTTTTACACCGATTCCCCCCAAACTACCTAGAGCAAAATGTACCAGTTGCCCTCATTAGAAATATATATACGATTAAAATATATAGTCAGCAAAATAGGGGAGGTAAATATACAAATAATAATTATAAGTAGTAATTATTATAATAAAACATTGTACATACCTAATATTATATCTAATTTATTTATTATTTTTTTTTTTTGATAAATTATCACATTTAATATGCCGCTTTTCATTATAATTATATTATTTATTATGAATTTTTTCTATCATTTTATACTATTTTTTTGTTGAAAAATTATAACATTCACATCATAATAATATTTATTATTTTATTGACTATTGTATTCATATTATCTTGTTAGTAATTATTATTTATCACAAAATACAATATTAGGTATTGGTATATTCCAACTTCCAAGCATATACATTTTTTTTATATTGTTCTAAATAATTTTATTTATTATTTGTATATTTACCTCCCTTATTTTACGGGCTATATATTGTAATTGTGTATATAGTATATATTAACATATAAGGGCAACTGGTCCCGATAACAACCGTGGGGGGGCCATTGGTCAACACCCTTAAATACAGGATCAAAAGAAAATACCTAGTCAATAATAAATAGGTTCCAGAGGTTCCTACTTAATATTATAATCTAATAAATAAAATATAAATTATAAATATTTAGGAAACTATAAAAACATCTACTTTATACATTCATAATTATAATGCTTTAATGATTGTTCTATAACATGTGGCTATTATATTTATTTCTACTGTGCCTATTTATATACATTTTAAAGCAATATTTTCACAGTTGATACTATACTACACAGAATAGATATAGGTAATGCTATACATATCACATAAATACATAATACCCAATCAATGGTATATAACAATAGTATCAATAATATTAATCAATTATCAAGTTAGCAAATTGTACCTTAAGTAGCGAGTCGATTGACAGAGGAAAAGATAATGATGAAATTTTTTTTCTGGATATATTCGCGTTGTTAGCCACATCTGAATTAGAACGTCGACGTGTAGTGCTTGCCGAAATGCTATGTGTTTGTCTTTTAATTTCTTTTTTAGAATCTACTATATTAGAAATAAAATATTAAATTCACCTTGAGAGATTCAAAATAATTTTAATGTGTCTTACAACTATTGGCTGTAGAATATTTTGGATTATCAAGAGCTGGTAGTTTTGTACAACTTGTTTTTTTATTTTCCTGCAATTGCACGTGTTGCAACCTATTATACATACGAGCTTCATAAGTATCACCATTGTGTTTATAATTTTGAAACAGTTTTCACATACTTAAAAGCACTTGGTGGACGATTTGTTCGTCGTTGACAGAAGAAAACCCTTTCCCGAGGGGTGAATGGTCTATTTGTTGTAAGTGGCTTTATATAAAGGGGTGGGTTCAGAGCTGCTTTCGCTTCACTAATAATTTCTGAACTGGTTTTTGGTAGCTTAGTTACGTGTTCTCTATTATACATAATAGTATTTTATAAATATCAAATACATAAATAACTTAACTTTTAAATTTTAATTCCACTGTTATAGTTAATACTTCTTTTAAGAACTTACAACACCTTGCCTATCAACTTATCAAAACTTACTACAGAGTATTATGTTTTGTTTGTTTTCAAAAACTGTTACCAAGGAGTTTATGGTAATTTAGGGCATAGTAAATAAGAGTATTATTGATTTTTCTCTTTATTATAGAATGTTCTACTTAATTAGAAAAATATAAATACAAATACACATAACCAATAAATGTATTAAGCTAAAAATTTTTTCAATTACATTTTCAAAATAAAACTTTATTGAAAAATATTTATTTTAAAATAAAGTTAAAATAAATGGGACATAATGTTATGAATTAGTAATACAATTATTATATTCCATTAATTGAGTCTTCATCACAATCGCCTGGAGGCCTAAGATCATCTTCTTTCAAATTAGATATTTTTTCAGGTGATTGTTTTTCTTGTTTCTGTAAAAATATTAAAAAAAAATATCATAAAAACGTGACAATATAACTTAATTTTAACAACACAAAAGCAAACATAGGTAAGAAATTCAATCAATGTGTAATATTTATATCATAAAAAAAAATAAAGGAAATATTGTACCTAGGTACCAAAATTAATAAGCTATAGTTTTATAAGATACTAAGATTCTTTTGTGGTAGAATTCATGTTTGTGATACACTATTAATTAAATAGTACTAAATACTTATGATTACATTCATATAGGTACATCTTATTGTATGACTCATTTTAATATACTTTTGTGTTGTTTTAAACAATCACTTGAAACTAAAATCATTTTAAATACTTATATTTATGAGAAAAAATATTTCATTCAAATATATAAGATACCAAGTGGCATACACAGGGGGGGCTAACAAGCTGAAGCCCCTTTCCATTGCCATTATTATTATTTTTTTAATATTTATCAAGTTTCAACTGTATAATCAAATAGTAAACAAGGGTGTAAATTTATATTCCTTTCAGTTGATTAGCTAAGGTTAAGTAAATAAAATAACCAGGACAGTGAGAACTGCTCTGCTGTTCAGTAGGTGTCGAGTGGGTCACTGTAATGGATATGTTAAATTAATTCAATGATACGAAAAAAACGAATCTAAATGAGAAAGTTGTCAGTCTAGGATATTTTATTTTATCTTAATATTGTTTTATTATATAAGATAATATAGGTAGGTTGGATTCATTTTTATAAAAAACATATTATCTATTTCATAAAATGGTCATTGATTTTTTGGTTACAGTATCAACTACTTATACGAGGATCCTTGTATTAAATTGTCAAGCTTTGAATTTTACAACCTTGTTTTTATTTGACCGAGCAAATAAATATTTATCTGTTTTTAGAAAAAAACTAAAATTAATCAAAGGCAATCAAACTAGGTTATGAAACTATTTTTTAATAATTACATTATAATGTTAACAAATTTTCATTTTTTCCGTGATTATTTTAAAAAGTACTGAGAAATTTCCATTTTGACCTTACAAAACTAAACCCAACTGTCTATCAAAAACCTGGATAAAAGTTGATGACCAGAGCATTTTTCTGCTCGAAAAGTTGAGAAGTTGAAGTTGTTCAAACTCTTTAAGTAACTCACCTAAATGTCTGAAATTATTAATTATTATACTAGACAAAATAAAAAAAACTTTAATTATTTATTTTTAAGCAAACCCCCCTCCCCTAAAATAATCCTGTATACGGTAATCTATGGTAAATGTAGACAATTTAAAATATTAAACATTTATTTATGTAAACTATATGCAACTTATCAGTTAAGTAAATCACTAGCGACAAAACTTGAAAGAAAAGAACCTATGACTTATATACAATTAATATTTTAAATTATTATAGTCGGTTCAATATTATTTCAAGCAGGGGAGTACTCAGGAATTTTCAATGGGGGGGGGGTTGAACATTTTGTTTTTTATCACGGGGACTTTGTCACCACCTTTTTAAAAATATTAAATATAAACATGGTAATGTAAAAAAATGTTTATTTAAAGAACAATATTCCGATTCCGATTGATTAACATGTTCTTAGAACTTCCAGGCACACTAGTAAAAAATGTTATTATTTTATTTTTATTTTTATTTTTTGACTTTAAGCGTTTATGGAAAAAGAATAAATACTTAAATTTTAATACTATCATTAATATTTTTCAAAAGTATATTAAATTACTATACATTTTAATAATTAATCTGTGTGAAATAGTACAAGTAATTTTAGTATATACCTAATTTAGAAAAAACAATTAATAATTTTGATTAAGGGGGCCTTGACAGTTTTACATTAAATTTAGGGAGCCTCACGACAAAAAAAATTGAGAAATACTGTACTAGATTATAGTGTAAAATATCTAAATATAATAAATATAACTAGCTGTCCCGGCAAAAGATCATGTTTTTAATGTTGCATTTCAATTTGAAAACTACATATACATTTTTCACTGTTTATTTTTCGAACATAATTTATATTTATTGAAGAAATATATAAACAAATTTTTTGACAAAGGTTGGTTGCTCAATACACAGTCAAATATTAACCAAATATATCATAACGCATTATGTCAAAACAAGAATGATATTCACTTACAAAAGAAAAAAATGAGCAAGGTGATAAAAACAAGAAAACACCAAAAAAACTAAACAATTTTTCAAAATTAGTTTGAAATTTATAAGATAACTATTATTGAATAATATTATAATATAAATAATATACCTAATCATAAAATAAAATATGCAAAATATTTTAAACATGTTTTTAGTTTTTTATGAGCACTAGCTAATAATACTCCACTCTACCAGACTACTATTAGAATTAGGAGTAGAATCATAATAGTTTTAATTTAATTTAAAGATTTTAAGAAGGATGCAAATATCCAAAGAAGTGACTAAATTATACATAATATTTTTTTCTAATTGATGTCTACTCGATAAAAATATTGCCAATGAATAAAATGCAAATGTAATGTATAATTACAGGCTCCAAATTTATTATACCAACTCAATTAAAAAAAAAAACTTTTTATGATTCAATGTTTTTGTAAATACTGACTTCAATTTTAAAAAATATTAGCATTTTAATTCTGAAGTTTTAAGACATTTTGCATTTAACAGAATGAATATACAGGCCTTCGTAGGACAAGAAGCGCGCTCTGGTGACTATAGAACTGTGGTAATATTTTCAATCAAGAGTGTATACGTATAGCCGTATAGGGGTCCAGAGTGACGACAACTTATCAATACACCTTGTATGTTTGATTTAAATTTTATCTGGTTATCATAATACAGTTCTTAACAGATAATGTTTGTAATCGTTGTATAATGCATGTTGATATAAAATTGAAAATAAATATATTTGTTTATTTTTTCCCTTCTTAAAAATTTTTTTTTAGAAAATTGCTCTTGTGAATTATATTATGTATAAACAAGAACGCACAAAAGTGCATCGGTTAGTAAGGTCATGGGAGGGGTTCAAACCCCCCCCCCCCCTTGAGTACGCCCCTGATTTCAAGTGTCTAATATATATATTATATATATATAATAAATAGAGTGGCAACTACTATATCCAAGTATATTATTTTAATTTACTTACAGACACTACAACATGTTGATTATTTGTATTGCTTATAGGTTCACATTTAACTTTTAAATTTTGATACATTGGTACTTCCATTTTTTTTCCAAATATAACATCCATAATTGCTTGACGAATGTGTGAGCGCTTAAAAAATTAAAACCATTTAAGCTTTAAAAATGTATTTTTAATTAATTTATTAACCCTTACCTGTACTTCAGTAAAACTAAGTACATGATCTAATAACGATTTTCTCATTTCTGGACATTGAAGTAAGACATCTTCCAGCTGTTCTGGTGGCAATTGTAGTAACACTTGAAAACTATTAGGTTTTGTCTTCTGACAACACTTTATGAATCCCTCCCATTGTGTCTTTTGGTGCCACACTTTTTTTAGGATAAGTCTCTGGAGTATATTCATTATAAAAGCAATCAAACGGGGAAAAGTTGTCAGGGACTGTATAACTGTACGCATCAATAAAGTTGGTAATGGATTTACATCCATTAAATTCTGCATTACAATTGCCAATATCTCTTGTGTGAATACTGATTTTTCCGCAAAACACAGTGATGTAGCTATCAAAATAAAATAATAATATATATTAGAAAATATAATTATACTTTTATTAAGTTCAAAAAGTATAAGCTGTCCTAAATTGTTATTACTTATTATTTTACCTTTAATAATGTATTTGAGGTCATTAGGATCTGTATCCATTGTGTGTAACGCAATCAAAAGCTCAGCTGGACTGACAGGAGGAATAGAGTTTGAATAGTTATTGCCCAAAATTCTATTGAAAACCTATAGTTATAGAAATATATTTTATTGTATTAATCAAATAATAGATTTGTAACTAAATGTATTTGTATGCCATACCTCTTTTACAACATTTGGATTTAATTTTATTAGTTGTGGTAAAACATTCAAAATATATTTCTTATCCAAACCAGATATTATTGGTACCAAGAAACGTACTTCAACTATCTGATTTTCATATAATTTTTTAACTCTTGATACTAACTCTGTTGATGGAATTTCTAAGAGAAAAAAAAATAGGTATAGATTTAATAATTATAAAATCTAATATCTAAATGTGAATTATTTTATTTAATATTATGTTATTTTTGTAAACTTATAAATTGTAATATAATAGTATTTTATAGCAAGTATTTAGGTATTACAGAAAATCAACGTTATAATCACGTATATAAATATATAATATTATAATATATTCATTTATCAAAAAAAAAAAAACAATATTATATTATATAACAATTTGCAAAATATATGTCAGAATAGAGCATCCATTAAAATATTTGGGCAGGTTCAGGAAAAGTGGTGTCTTACCAGCTAAATCAAAAATAAGAGAATAAAATAATAATAATAATAATAATAATAATAATAATAATAATAATAATAATAATAATAATAATATCCAATAATATAATAATTCAAGTTAAGTTTCAGATTATAATATATAAGAGCGTGGAGTATCATATTATATCGCTACTGTATATAGTATGGTCACCATGACTATTTAATAGATATGATTATAAAAAACCAGTTTTTGTTCAGTTTACCCATTTCCCCACTATTCTACACACAAAGTCATTGCTCATAAATCTCCGAATTTCATTGGTCGGCAATGTCAATAGAATATTATAGAAGCGGAGAACTATGTGATAGACGTGACAAGGCCACAAGGGTGGTACGCGTATCACAACATTGTGATCATACTTATTTATTTAGTCATAGGTACACATGGGTACTATTCTGTACAATGTCTATTGGTAAAATTAATTAAAAAAATTATTATAAAGTATATTTAATATAATAATATGAAAGCCAAATCTATTTATAAATAAGACTTAAATATTATTAACATAATGTAACTACATTAATTTATTTATTTAATTATATATTTATTAAATTTCTATACAAATGACAAAGGTATAAATAATACTACAGATTTAACGAATACATATTCAATGTATTCAAAATAAATATACAATGATTTCTTAAAATTATGTTTTATCATGGCTAATGTTTAACAAATTATAAAATATATTGTTTTAGAAATGCATAAATAGATAAGTATGAGTTACATTTAAAAAAAAAATGGTTTTATTACAATATGAAATTAGGAGGTACCTACCATTCATTTAATATTAATATTAACATAAGACATTTTATTCTTTCAACCAAGATAGGAATACATCAACATCGATTTTGGCTTACAACATATTATAAAATAATTAATGGGTATAATTATTTTATTCACTTGTTAAGTAGCCGCCTCACTTTACTTTTGGATTTTGGACCATCGTCTTCATCAGATTCTGCATATCTCTCTGCATGTGAAACAATATGTGTATTGACCAAGTAATCGGTGCCTATGTGTTTTTTATACTCAAATAAGTTTGGAACACTCATAACGAATGTTAGGCAATGCATGGGTACCAATCTGCTATCAATAGAAACATGTACAAAATCATTAGGTTTGAAAGTGTCATAATGCACCTTTTTTGATTCATCAGTGACTCCAACGTTTGCTTTAGGAGCCAACCACATGATTTTTGCTCGTTTTTCACATAGTTCATTTTCATGTAACTTAATAATTTGTGCATAAAAGATTTTGTTTGATTTTGATTCACTCAGTGATACAATATCGCCTACAGTCCAAAGTTGATTCATAAATCGAAACTGTTCAGTCTTGCGTAAAGTGTATGGACAGCGAAAAGTATATAATTCAGATGGAGAAGGAATTGGATTTTCTTGTGATAACCAGCCTTCAAGTTGTCTATGTGATACTAATATTCCAATAGGATTTGAAGGTGAATCTTCTTCACTTGACGAATTCATAATATCAACCGATACTCAACAGTGGGATTTATATTATAATTAGAACATCAATTGTTAATGAAATAATGAATCAATCTATATGATTATTAGTAATTTATTTTATTTCAAATAAAAGTAAAAACTATAGTTGAACTTATCAAAAATTAAAATAGATAATAGATAGATGGAAAAAATAAATACAAAATAATAATATTATGTATTAACAAAATATAATTGATAACAAAATAGTTTTGTAAGCGCTATCTAGTCTAAAATTGTACAACCACAATAGTATAATTATTAAAAAAATGTATACCAAACTACAGTGGCGTCCGCAGGGGGGGGGGGCTAAAAGGCTAAAGCCCTCCCCATTACCCGTATTATTATTACTTTTTCAAAAAAATATTAATCAAGTTAAACTGTCAACTATAGTAAGCAAGACGTAAATTGCAAATATGTCTTACCAGAATGAATTCATTTTTGAAAAAACATTGTATTTGTAACATACCAATTTTCATAAATTATCTGTAATTTTTCGGTAAAAGTATGAACTATTAATTGTATGAAAGACCTTGTATTAAATTGTCTAGCCTTAGCTATACACATTTATAATTTTATAAGTTTTTAACTACAAATTAACTGTGGTTTTGACAATTTGAACTTTAAATGCTTATATAAAAATAAGCATGATGCCTATGTATCGTTAATATTTTAGCTATAATAAAAAAACGTACGTATTACATTTTTCAGCTTTTTGACCGAATAAATAATTTTTTATTGACATTTATAGAAAAAAAAAATTTAATTATTCTAAAACAATCCAAGTTAAGACGGTATAACCAAACATTTAAATAAATTTTCATTTTTTTTTCTCAAATTATTTTTAAAAGCACTGAGCATTTTTAATTTCAACCTCCTAATAGTACCAACTAGATCCAATTTGCTTCCAAAAACATACACCGGGCATCATCGAAGCTTATGATCAGAGCATTTTTTCTACCAGAAAAGTTGAAAAGTTACAAACATTTTAAAATACCTCAAATAAACGTCTGAAATTATTAGACTGGACAAAATGAAAAGAAAATTGTAACTAATTTTCAAGCCTCCCCCATTGAAAAATCCTGCGGACGCCACTGCCAAACTACATAAGTCCACGAATTAAGATAAATGATAATAATGATATAATTTCTTTAATTCCTTATACTAATTAGTAATTACTTCTTAAATCGTGGCATATCATTTCAATCAAAAAGGTGCCTAAATTTAAACCACGAATTAATAGCGTTTTCCATCTGACTGCACTAGTGCACACTGGTGTCCACTGGTCGAAACCTTGAACTTTGGCGGTGTGGAAAATTATGTGATACTGTGATTATGGTATCAATGTTCGCGTGTAATGTGCACTAGTGCCACAGATTTCTATATGATATGTAGTTTCAGTAGTATCATAGAACAATATAGTATAGGCCCTTTTTGAACTAAACTTTTCTCAAGGCGCCCTTCCCAAAGACATAGCATGAATTTATTTTTAGACCAGGTAAATTTCTACGGCGACGCGGCGCCCCTGAAAAGACGATATAAATCTCAAGGGTTTACAGTTATTCGTTTTTGAATCACAACAAAATAAAAAAATCACTACCTACATGAGAAATCAAGTGAATGTTCAAGAGAACCCAATGTTGTAAAAATGTGAACTCCAAACGCTCATAGCATTTTTTGTGATTTTTACGCTTTTTGTCAAAATTCGAACTTTAAATGCTTATAAAAAAAATTGTGATTATGAATTTTTAATATTTTTCAAATGTCATTGTAACAATATATTAAGAGCCTTGTATTAGATTTCCAAGCTTTCTTACCCCACAAATAAAACTTTTTGAGATTTTTAGAAAAAAAACTAAAAAAATTGAAAATTGATAATGTCCGTAAACAGTTCAAAACAAGTCAACATATTTTGAATATTTTATGGTGTATACCAAATGCTAATCTGATGTTAAGAGAAAATTAAATGTATCTACGCCCTACGGTCATTTGTTTTAGAGTGAAGCAAAAACCAAAATCAATTTTATCAAAAACCGATAATTTTGCGTAAAAATTCCCGTTTTTTCTTAAATTTTATGATGTTTTTCCCTGCGCTTTTGCAAACTATTGAGAGTTTTAAATCTTTATCTCCCAAATGCACTTTTCCGTCGAACAAGATACTGTTGAAGAAAATAAAAGCAGTTTTATTGCCCCAAACCATGATGACAGACACAAAAAAAAAAACACATCATTGTAAAATCAATACATTCATTACATTCATCGTTCCACTCAGAATCTAAAAACTGTATGAGGTTCACTACTTCACTAGATAATATTCTTACTTCTAAATTTTATAAGAGGTAAATTTACTCTAACATTTTCCCGCCCTTACAAGTTGGCGCCTTGGGCATTTGCCCCAGTTGCCCCCCCTTAAATGTGCCACTGTAGATAACATGTCAATTTTCATCCACAACTTCCTAATGTATATTCAATGCTACACGACATGGTTATGGAAAGACAGTTTTAAACTATCATAAAATAAGTCTCCTCCCCAACAATTTTATATTTTTACTATGTTGGACACAATAATCAAAAATATTTTTCAGGGTTGGTAATATACGTGTATAAAATGTTTTATACGTTACACGTATTATACCCCACGTATAAAACGTATAAAACTAATTAACGCCAAAGACATACTAAATTTCCTTAAATTTAGAATAAAATTAAAAACTAAAATTTAAAGTATTAAATCTTAATATTTAATAATCATTTGATTGGTTGTCTTTTTCTTCTATTTTGAGCGAATAGTATACTGCTAACAACTTTTTTGAATGTTCAGGAGATAATCTGTTTCGCAAATTATTATGTATATAAGACCAATTTGAAAAAACTCTCTCCAACTGGGCTGTCGATGCTGGTATGCTTAATTGTTTGTTTGCAAAATCTGCTAATTCAGGATGTTTTTGTTTAGCAAAAGACCAAAATGAATTTGCTGTTAAAGTATCTTTTTCAAATAAAATGCCAAATAAATTTTTTTTTTCTTTAAACTCAATAAAGCTATTTAAGCCATTTGTACCAATATCAGTTGAGTTTAAAATGCAATTTTCAACAATGTCCTTCTGCTCAGGTGACATTTTATGGTGTTTTTGGTAAATTGGATGTAAATAATTGGCGGTTAATGAATATTCATTTAAAGCATACTTTTGTCGATTTGCAATATAATTATTAAAACTTTCAAATCCACTAGGTATTTTGCTAGGTAGATTTAACCATAATTCTGCTGCATCAGCAATTGATGTTTTGCTTTGTTGACAAATATTAATAAGTTCACATAAGGGATCAAACAGGTCAATTGAATTGGATAAATTTTTAATAAAATTACTGTCGAATAAATATCTGTGCACCTCACCATCAAACTTATGTTCATTAGATGCCAAAACGTTTTTCATAGCTGGAATGTTGCTCTGAAGGTTTCTGAATGATAATAGTTGTTCGATGCAGCAAAAAAAAAAAAAAACTTTTATACAGTATAAAACGTATAAAACTAAGTAGTTTTATACTGTACGTTTTATACTCACGTATAATACGTGTTTTATACTGTACTGTATTATACGTTCCAACCCTGATATTTTTCCTTAAAGCTTATAAAAAATGTTCACTAAATTTAATTGAATGAAGTGTATTATTGTTTATATAAGTATGTTTTATAAAATGTATATATAATACAAATTCGGTGTATTAAAAGTATTAGGTAAAAGTTAATTTTTGTTAAATTTATTTTATTACTTATTTATAATATATTATTCCTAGTTATATCCACGGTAGAACCAACTATCAAATAGTCAACAGATTAAATAATCCAGCCGTTTGATTTTAATGATTCTTAATTTTTTATCAAAAACAAAAACCCTATTATCTATACAAATGTTATCACATATTATTTTGTAGGGTGCCCTTAAAATTAAAAATAGCCACTTACCTTTTTCAGTAATAGTATGCAACACTCTGGTTATCATTGCTTCAGATCCTTTTGGTATGTCCTCAAGAAGTCTAAACATTTCACTTGAATTCATTGGCATATTTTGAATAGGTTGTGGTAAAAGTTTTATAATTGAACGTTTTACTTCTCCTTGAGAGTTAGAAAATACAGCTGCTAATCTATTGGATTATAAAATAAATTGTACATAATACATACCGGCATAAATTAAATATATAAATCATACTCATGAATTAGTTCGTAGTTATCGGCCATTAACATGAAATATAGGTATAAGCAAGCTGTAGTCGAGTCTTCATCCCACACTTCAGATTTGACCAATCGGCCTGTTTCATGACCAAAAAGTACATCAGGGGGAAGTTGTAATCTTAAGAATCCCAAGTAAAAAGTAGCATATTCTTCAATAATATTTTTCAAATCTTTATTTTTATACAATTTATTGATAAAATTCAAAGCAATCTCTCGAATCTAAAAATATTTAACACAATTCAATTGGTACTAAAATATACTAAACATTTTATTTTATGAGTATTTACATTTAATAAAAATAAAATTTTCCCAATAATTGGAAGTAAAATGAATGATAAATTATTATATTGTGTATACACTGTACAGTTTAATATTGATGTTAATGATCTATACAGACAAAAATCATAACATTATTTTAGTGTTTAGTCTTAAATGTATTGTAATTTGTAATATTTAATCAATTTCATATTTTATTAAAAAAAAAGTATTATTTATCGACTTATTATAGGATTATTATCTAGGCAATGACATAGGCTTTTTATTATATTTTAATTTTAAAGCGAGTTATGAGTATTTTAAGATGTACAAACAATTTACAATTTTTGAATACTTATAACTCTCTTTAAAATTAAAATATAATAAAAATCTTGTCTTTGCCTAGATAATAATAATACCTTAAAATTTTAAAAGAAGTAAATTCACTTTAATTTTTAACTAATGGAGATAAACGTGATCTGCTGGGCATAAAATTTGCTTTGTTACGTACTTGTAAGACAGAGACAACAAATGTCACTGTCAAGTCCCCTCCTTAAATGGCACACATTTTATTTGTATATTTGTATATTTTTATTGTAAAAACTGATTACCAGGATTAAAATATTTTGGGGGAAATACCTCATTAAAATTAATTTTTAACAATATCATTAAAGTTAATAATGTGAATATTGAAATTTTTGATTAGAGACTACAGACATAAGATTTCCCGGTGGCGGGGTGATATATTACATATGGCTCTCATTATAATATTTTTGTTTATCAATATTTAATTATTAAATAGTAAATACACTTATACAATATTAAGTGTATTTTAATACATTACTTTATCATTCTTATGTGAAGTGAAGAAAAGAAGTGCATTTAAATACACTAACTGTCTTGGAGGACGTTTAGTAACTAATTCATCAAGAATGAATAGACCAAATGCATGATCACCACAAATTTCTTTCAAAATATCTACAGCATCATCAGTAATAAATGGACTTTCAAAATAAAAAGTGGTTATAGCACTATAAATATTTTACAAAAATTAAAATCAAAAATATATGTAATTTTAATTAAGAATCCAATTTACTCTTCTTTTTCTTTGGGATCTCCAATACCTAATGCGCCTCTGATAAGTGCACATAAAACAGTACTGTAATTTTGTTCTGAAGTTAGAGTATTTCTGAATGCTGTTGGGATTTTAATAAATCCTTGACATACACTATACTCTTCATACAACCATGATAAGCATAAATTCATATTTTTAGGGATATCCTGATTTATATAATCGAGAATAGCTAAACAAAGAATGAATAAACATTTATACTTAGTATGTAATTATTTTTTCAACAAAGTACATTAATAAGTATTACTTACTGTTGCGAAAATCATCACTACACATAACTGCCACTTTAGTTATAGCTTTAATGTGTACTTCTTTAAACTGTTTTGACAAAACAATTTTACTAGTGTCTAGAACTCTAAGTAAAGCATCAATAGATAGTTCTTCAGCTTCAGTAGGATCGACTTGACAGTTATTCATATTTAATTCTGCTGGTTGAGCTAAAAGTATATCTTCTTCCTCCATTTTTATAATTTCTTCTTTTACTCCTTCTAATAATTCATCATCATTTTGGATTATGTACTTCATATCAGGAATAACAATATCTGATCCACATATTTGAGTAGCTAATAATTTAGCAACATGTTTAATGTGGCTATCAGTACCAGCTGCTGCTATTGGAGTATAATTTGTTACAAAAGCTGAAGGCAATTTTGATGGTAATTTTGGCTATAAATTAAAATATAAATAACTCTTAGAAAGAAATTAAAAGTTTCAAGATAATGTTTAATTAGAACCACCCATAATTATATTTAAATTATGCATTTATTCAGTTTTTAAGAGATTTATGACCATTTTTAATTTTTGTTATATTATGTACACATAACTTGTTAAAAAATTGAACCATAGTATAAAACCAACATACGAACGCAGCTAATGTTCAACCATCAAGTTTCATAATAGATCGATTCAATCTACTTTTTAAACTAACGGAGCTAAACGTGATCTGCTGAGCATAAATTTGCTATGTTTTGCACTTGTAAGACAGAGACAACACATGTAGGTGTGGTGTCCTCTTAAAGTTGCTGGAGAACTTTATTTATAAAGGGCAATTTTCATGGCAAATTAATTTATTGATGTGTTATATTTGAATTTAATGATATATAATTGCATACAAACATGATTTTAACAAGGATATGGTGTGTCAGTCTCTATTTCTAAGGACATTATCTAATTTATTTATATGACAGACAGGAATTTAGTACTTTCTCTTAGTAATACGGTAGGGTGCATTCATTTTGACCAAAAACATCTAACAAATACTAAAATATTTTGTTAATAATTCTTAAGCAGGTAAAATATGCTGATAATATGTTTTTTTTTTTACTTCTTAAGTTTAAAAATGTGTGCACAAATTATAGTTATAATAAGAAAGTAGAAATAGATGTGTAATAGTATAGGTTTACATTAAACTTTATACATTTATAATATTTACATTCACCATCTATATTCTATTAACTAAACATCATGTAAACTTAAACTAGAAAATAATTATTGCACCTTTTCTTTGGCCACATTTTAAATAATTAAACAATTATTACCGATTTAATTACAAACAAATTCAGACCAATTTCTATAATTGTTAATTTTAATTTAAAATATCCAACTGCCCCAAAAAAGCCATCTTACATTCACGCACATTTACAACTCAATGCTCAGACTCTCATACTTTCCTCTGCTTTGGAAATTCTAGATCATAATTATGATACACAAACCCGGGAAACCTGCTGACTCTCCTAGCTCGTACAGACCAATTAAAAATCAAACATTTTAAATTTTGCTCTCTATAACAGACTATCAATTGTTATAAAATGTTACTAACTTATAAGCCAATAATGAAATATAGTAAAATGGTGTAAATATGTTAAAGGTATTAATAGTTTAAAATTAGTCTAAATATTTTGAAAATTTAATTGTACATAGAAAATAATATTTTACATAATGGTAAGCAATTTCAAGTCTTAACAATTAATCTTTTTTGAATTACAACATAACTATAGTAAGTTGTTTAAGGAGAGTTCCAGCTAGATCTAATTGACAACCAGAAATCAGAAGTTGAAGATAAAATCATTTATTGTTTTAAAATGTGATAAATTATCATTGATAACAGACAAAAATATATCATTATAAAACTAATACATTATTTCACCACTCAGAATCTAAAATGTGGTAAGCATTGTTCAGAACTTAAGAAATCACTATGTAATATTTATATAATCTTAATATAATTTATATATTTACCATGAATGTCATTATAAGGTTTGTGATGGATTCTGGTGATAATTTTCCAAGTACCCACTCTTTAACTGTATTAATATGGCGATCTGGTAGTGTACCTTCAGTACATCTCTTTTTTTCCGGAATGTCATCTTTATCTGTTTTTTTATCTTCTATATCATCATTTTTACGTTTTAAGGATCGCAATAACTTTTTACTATCTTCATTTTTTGACAAAACCTGAAGTGCTTTCATAATCTAAAAATAATACAGAATAATATGTAATGCAAGTTTAAATGTTAAATCAATATAACTGTTGTATAACTACTTCTTGATTGGAAGCACCAATATCCAATAATAGTCTTCCAATAGTTTGCTGATGTTCAGTTGAAGCAGGGAGACGCAATAAACTTAATAATTGTAATTTTAGACTTTTCTGAACATTGGTTGATTGACTCAGAGTTAAAGAATTTGGTATGTTTTCTAAAAAAAAATAATTTAAAAATAAAAATTAATTTTTAATTTGTATAGTATTAATTTTTACAAGATATTTCTTACTAGTTAATGTTTCTAATATAGTTACAACTTTTTCAATAAATGACACACGGAATTTGGCAATCAATGTTAATGATCCTATGCAAGTCATTAAATTTGCACAGCCTACATTACCAGAATGACAAAATCTTGACAGAAGATCAAACAATACCCTAAAATTCAATATCATTGTCAATATAATATTATATTCTTTGTTTTATACTTTAATATAGTAATATATAATTGTGTAATCAGTACTTTGCTTCATCTTCAAGTCTTCTACGGCGGGTAACTTTAAGAGTTAAAGGTATATCTTCAAGTGACATATCATTCTCACGATCTATACCACCTTCACCTTTGTAAGTTTGCACAAGTATTACGGTTTCCATGAATTTCATAACTTGAGCACGAATACTACAAAAAAATTATTTAAATTAAGTTATTCCTAATAGTACATATAAAAAAAATAACAATAATCCTTAAATACCCTTCATTATCATTGTCAATCATGTTAATTACATGCGATTTCAGATTGGATAAATCTTGCCATACATTTGATAGATCAGAACTAGGTAAATCAATCATTGATATCCATTGTAATCCAGCTCTGTATATGTTGCTAGCTGCTTGAACCACTCTTTTTTGGACCACAAGTGATCGATCTTCCAGTAACATTAATACATTTGGCATTGTGACACATACATTCGACTTTTCTTTATTGCTAAAAAAAAATAGTAATTTAATATTTTTAACAAAAGTAGTTCTCAAACCAAATTACCAGCATTCTTCTATGAACGCCACAACAAATTTCCTTATTGTTGAACTATGATCATTTTGATACGCAATTACATCATTAATAAATTGTGGTAACAATTTTGGTTCTTGATACAACAGTACTTCTTTAGCCTTAAGTAGTAAATCAAGTTTAGTGTTTTCATCAGGAGCCACAGCTGCTTCATTTAAAATACTGGTCACCTAAACAGAATAAAATATTGACAAAAATGAATACTATTTTCTTTAGAATTAAAATTGTATTCCTTAGTTAACCTGCTCAGTAGGGCTTCGACTACGTTCAACACGCATTTTTTATTAAATATAATTTTCAGTATCTATTTTCGGGAGACTTCAAGCATTGAAAATTGACAAAAGACATTAATATTAAATAATAATATACAGAATAGTAAATCGTTATTATTAATTGATACAAGACACGAATTATAAATTATGATTACCTATCTTAATATTTTTAATTCGTGATACAAAATAAAGATTAAAGTATAAAAAAGAATTGCTATTTGCGAGGACCTGGTGCGAGGATAGTTCATTAATTTATTGGTTTAATACTTTAATGGTTTGATACCTCAGCGGCTCAGCCAATGATTTCCGTTATCTATTATCAGTGTTATGACTTTATCAATGATAAAGTGAGAGTAGTCACGTGACTTCAGCTTTATTTTTTTAATAATAAACGTAATTTTTTGGTTTTTACTTTTTTGTAACAAGAGTTATTTATCACTTAATTTTATTTTTATCAATCATCAATCACAAGCGATGAAAGGATAACAATAATTCAAAAAAAAAAAAAATATATATTTAAAGAAAATACATAATAAGAGCGTATTGAAATTGTATACATCCATACTTTTCAACAATTACACCGTTTGTTTGGGCGATGTACGGTGCCGAACACATTCTATGCCATCCGAGGCACATGCACAAATCAAATGGCTATTAAAGAGACACACGGACACAGACAAAAGTTTGTGGAAGAAATTGATTACGATGAAATTGAAAAGCTTGAAGTACATAATTTATATATATAATTGTATAGTAGAGTTTGTTATGTCCAAAGTATATTGATAGGGTTATTTTACGCTATGTAGATTGTCGGAAAAGGGTCATTTGGTGTTGTTTACCGTGGACGGTGGCGTAACAACTATGTAGCTGTCAAACACATTGACACTGAAGCTGAGCGTAAAGCATTTACAATTGAAGTTCGACAGTTGTCTCGAGTCAACCATCCTAATATTGTCAAATTATATGGTGCATGCACATCAAACCCTGTATGTTTAGTAATGGAATTTGCGGAAGGAGGATCATTATACAACGGTTAGATTGTTGTATTTATTGATAAAACTTAATTTTAAAAAATTTACAATTATTAAGGTATTGCTCTGATTTTTACTTGAACTACTAATTTATTTTGATTCTAAGTTTTCAATCTTAGAGCCGTTCTTACAATGTCCTGTAAAGTGTCGGTTAACGCTAACCGACTGATAACAGATTATATTACCGGCAGAATTCGGCCGGTTAAGTGTCGGTTAACTTTAACCGGACATTGTAAGAACGGCCCTTAGTATTTTAGTGTGTAATGGAAAAAAAAAATACATTTAAATCTATTTGTCTTATCAATATATTACTCTATTGATTGTCATTAAAATATTTATATATTTTATTTTATTTTAATTGTTAATAGTATTACATTGTAAACCTGAGCCTCAATACAACTTGGGACATGCTGTTAGTTGGACATTACAATGTGCAGAAGGTGTAGCATATCTTCATAATATGAAACCTAAACCATTAATTCACCGGTATCCAATTATATTTTTGATTTATAAGCTTTAAACATTTAAAAGTAGAAAAAATATATGATTCCTTTTTTTCAGTGATTTAAAGCCACCGAACTTATTATTGGTAAATGAAGGAAAAACACTAAAAATATGTGATTTTGGGACTGCTTGTGACAAAAAAACATATATGACCAATAATAAAGGTAGTGCAGCTTGGATGGCACCTGAAGTATTTGAAGGTTTGAAATTAATAATTTGTACAACATTAAATTTTAACTAATCATATTACATTTTATTAAGGTTCAAATTATACCGAAAAATGTGATATATATAGCTGGGGTATTATTTTGTGGCAAGTTTTAACAAGACTGAAACCATTTAATGAAATTGGTGGATCTGCTTATGGAATCATGTGGGCTGTACATAAGGGAACCAGACCACCAATATTTGAACAATGCCCTCGACCTTTCCAGGAATTGATTACTGAGTATGAAATAATTATAAAGATATTTGTTTGAATATGATCTTATATGCTACTTAGTAAAATAGTCATCAGTATATTATACCTACCTACATTTGGTATCCTTATACTATACTCTATTCAACATAAGAAGTGACTCGGGCTACAACCAGTTTTCGTTGGTGAGGTGCAGGTCATACACAACTGAAAGGTTATGGGGAAAAACGATCATAGTCAAAAGAAAGAAAAAAATAAAATAATTAGGTATAATACCTTTTGGTTAGTTTAATAACAAATCGACACGTGAATTGAGTTATGGAAAAAAGATCATGGTCAATGATATAATACAGGTTTAAATATTACCATAACAGGAAAAAAAGACCAGAGTCTAACTTTAAAACTGCAATACTGAACATTTTAGGAATATTGACTATTATTGTTTTCCCCTTAACCCTTCAACTGTTTTCCCTACTTAATCATCCTCCAGTAACCAATACACAGAATGATACCATAATAAGCTATTTTATTGAATAAATTTCATCTAAATAATCTAAGAACTGTTTGAATGATCAATGAATTTTAATTATACACCACTATTCTTTAATTATTTGTTGTTTCATTAAATTAAATTCTCCTTTATTTTTAATTACTTGTATTTTAATAAACAACATACTCTTATTATTTATCTTTGTTTCAAAGTCAACAACTCATTTTACATAATTCACTATTTTATGAATTCGTATAAAACATTTTTTTTGCGTCTTTAATAAAAACATTGCTGAGAAAGTTCAATAATATAATATCCATATGAGAGTAAATTCAGTCGTTTAAACAAGGAAAAAAAAATTCAACAAGTATTTTCTGGTAATATCCTATAAAAATTATTAGTTTTAAGTATATTAAACTGAATTGTAGATATAATATAGCCTATTGGATCATATTTTTTAAATACATTTCAACAGTTTACTATAATATTTATTGTTTTTAAAGGTGTTGGGATCAAAATCCAAATGTTAGGCCATCAATAGATCATGTCGTTCAGGTTATGAGGATATTAATACAATTTTGTTCTGGACATGACCAACCATTAATGTATCCCAATTATTGTTATTCCATTAGTATGTATAAAATTATTGTATTTTTTTGTTTATACTTTATAATATATTATTGTATTTGTAGGTAGTGAATTTGAAGAAGACTGTACTTCTGAAGATTCATGTCCAGACATTTCCGACTCCTATATTGAAAGCTTAAGTATGTTTATTTATACCATGTATAATTTAATTGAACCCCGGACAAAAAGTACAGATACATTCAGTCCAATCTGAAAAATGCATGATAAAAAGTCCAAAAATACAAATTATTTAATTCACAAAATAACATTTTTTTTTTTTTTGTATGTGATTAATACTTAATAGTTTTGGAATTAAATAATTTCAATTTGGCTTTTTGGATTTTCCTAATTTCTTTTAGATTAGAGTTTTTGTCTTTCCGATAATTATCTTTTGGCTCATTACTCGTTTTATATCTTGGAAAATATTGGATATTTTTAGTTATGACTGAAGATATTTTTGCCTAAATCCCTTGGTTTTGATAATATATGAAATAGTTAGAGGTATATCATTTTAATAAGAAGTTTTTAAATTTATTTTAATAGAATTAGATAGAAAATTTTAACCTTAACATTGTAAATCTAATTTTTTATCGTGAACCCTGGTGCTTTTTAGACATAATCTGTAACAATTATTTAGGGTGTTTTATAGTTTCTTAAATTTTTCTCTTTTGGCGTCTCCATTTGAAAAAAAATCTTTGGGTTTCCCTGATGGCCAATCCGACACTTATTACCATTTTATGTTAAATTTCTTTCATTGTGGAATATTTCTTATTGTAAAACTAAATGTTAACTATGACATGGAACTTCACATATTTGCATACTTCTTAGAAAGCTTCAAATCAAAATGTGATTTGATACAAATTTGTTTCATATTGCATACAATTAAAATCTATGAATGTATGTTGCATATTATTGCGTGTTTAAACAATCTATTGATATTAAAGGAACACAATCAGTGGCGCACACTCAAAAATAAATAGGGGTAGCAAATTGATTTAGTTACCTCTATATTGGCCAATAGACTAATGGCTATAGCCTGTAATTATTCAATATTTTATTTTCAATATTTTTATAAGTAGTAGAATTTTCATGATGTAAATATTTTGGAGCTAGGGGAAAATATATGTTTTGATAATAATAAAAAAAAAATAATGCATGAATAATTATGAATTTTTTAAAGCTTACTCTCATATAAACTTATATTACTTAACTGAATATTATAACTTAAAAATTGTTCATTATATTATTGAATCTTTAAGATTTTTTTAATGCACAAGTTTGCACTTATCATTGTTTTTTAGCACATAAAGTTCTGAGCTCTGGTTATAACAGTATAATTATTATATAACATAAAAATGAAATATGTATAACCACTATTAAGTTGAAATATCTTTAAGTATAATTAACTGTAGGAACTTAACTTACAAACTAATTAGTGGATGATAATTAATATATTTGTTAAAATATAGATAGATATATAGATAACTATTAAGACCAGTATATTTTTAGACAAAAATGTAAATATAATGAATTATTGATTGACAATCTAGCCTAAACTTAAATTATAACATTTTTGGTATTTTAATAAATCATTTATATCCTCAAATTCATCAATTTGTTGATATTTTGTTCTTGTTAAGTATCTGTATAATTTATAAATATAATCAGCGGTGGTACTTTGAACTGAATTTCAGGGGGTGGGTGGTCCTCTTGTTAGTGTGCCACTGAATACAATGTTGGTGTGTTAAGTTTATAAATAATACTAACATTAATAAATTAACCATCTTAATTCGTATTTAAATATCACAGTTATTATACTATAAAATATTATGTATGTTTAATGAAGAGAGGTAATTTATATTTATTTATTTGGTAGGAAGTCATAAAGGAATAAATGGAATGTTGACAAATGATAGTTTAAAATCTAATCCCAATTTATCAATACCATTAAATGTTAATGTAGACAACAAGGTAAGTTTATTTTTATACTTTATAATTGAATTATATGTTTATACTTTATAATTGGTTATAATCATTTCATTAGTTTGATCAATATGAAGACTTAAAAATATTAACCATGCCTGGATTTGACAAAATGGGGGCTTATCAGACTGTTGATTCAACTGACCGAGAAGATGAATCAAATTCACAGTGTCAAAGTCTTGACGACACTAATAATGTAAAAGGTATGTTTCTCCAGAATTATTATTTTCAAGTTTTTTTATTTATTTAGGACTTGCTAACGAACGCCATTACCTTTTTTTCTATTACAAATACTTAAAATTATATAGATTTACATTATTTTTAAATTTTTTTTTACAAGGTTTATAATAATTTATCTAATTTTGAGATGTTTATAAAGATAACCAGCTTTAGTGTGTTGTCCAGGTTGAGTGCTTCTGACAAAATACTGGAAACTCCTGCTTCTTGTCTCTCATTTCATATGTACAACATTTGGTTATTAAGTATTTCACCCAGGCACATCAGCGGGGGGTAAATTGGCCCCATCAATTTTATTTTTAATTATTTTAAATATTATGGCGTTTAATTGTCCCGAATCCTGGATGTATATTGTAGGTACTCTGTATAATTAAAAATCGTAAATCGTAATTAAACTCCATGATTTTATTTTATAAATACTAGTCACCCAAAAATTTGAGATAGCACAGCAAGACGTCCAATAATAGATTGAAAGCTGGAAAACACTATTTAAATTTATTAAACATTAACCAATACAGACAATACTTTTTTAAAATGCAGTATTTGTTTTATAGATATTGGTAGTAATTAAATTGGCAGTAGGGGATTCAAAAAGCAGAGGGGCAAAAAAATGTTGACTCCTAATGGAAAAAAGTCTGGCTACTGTATTATTTTAACCAATGACCTTCTGGGTGTATAATTATCAAATAAATAAATAAACAAATATTTCAATTTATTTCTGGTTCTTTTTCACAAATATTTGCTTACATACACCTAAACTATTAGATATTAATTAGTGGTTTTGTAATTATTATGTTTAATCTTGTTAAGAGGATGTCAGTGTCACTGTTGGTTTTCTCTCTGGCCCATGCACAACATAGATAAAACGTATTTATGCTCAATCATTTTTTTAATATTTTGCAGTAATCTTATAGTAAAATTACCCGTTAAAAAAATGATATAAAATAGTAATAATTTTGAGGTTATGACATCAAATTGTCTAAATATTATCTCAAAACAATGTAAACATCATTTAAATTTGCAATTTTTTTTTTTTTGGAAGTTATAAAAAATCAAATTATAATAAAATAAAAATATTATTCTCGATAACATTTTCTACACTAAGATTACTCAAAAATCATAAAAAACGATTTTAGGTGAAAGCGTTTTATCTATGTTGTGCGTCTGAGGGAGAAAACAAATATTGCGCTAACATCCTATTCATCAAGTTTTATTTCTTTAATTATTTAATTACTTTATTGGTATATTTTAACTTGTTTTCTATTTGTCTATTATAGACATTTATTTATTTATTTATTAATTATATATATTCAACGGACGATAAGTCCTTTAACATAAAACAGAATAGAACAAAGTAAAAATAATTAAGATAGTTTTCCAAAATATTAATAATAATTAAAACAACAATAAAAATAGTAGGTAAATGAACAGTAAGTAAAAATATTAATACAATATAAAAATTGATTCAAGATTAGAAATGATTCACATATTGATACACAAATTGATCTTACACCTCTAGAATATTATATTTTTCTTTAAAGTTACATGAGTTATGAATTAATAATTAAGAATAATTTATATTTCATATTATGGCATTTAAAAAATGTATTTAGTATTTTATTTTAATAGAAACTAAAAAAAAAATTGGATTCAAAAATATTTACAAATTATTTTCAATAATAAATTTGGTATGTTAAACACTATTTTACTATTAAAATTTTATAATAATCTTCTATATATATAAAAATGGAGACAAAAAATTCGAAATTGCATCAGTTGAGAACGGCTGGGCCGATTTTGCTCAAATTTTTTTTTAGATGTTCGTAATTGTCAGGTGAAGGTTTTTACAAAAGAAAATTTTTAAAAAGTCAACCGAATAATTAGAAAAACTGCAAAAACTATTTATTGATGTCTGGGATTTGAACTCGATACCGTTGTCTTTATTTACTCTATTGTGTATTATATTATATTGGTTGCTATTGGTTAATCAGGCATGTTTGTTGATTTGTATTATTATTTTTTGTAAATATATCTTATATATAAATGAATGACGGTGTGTAGATTAGACTAATTAGATACGCTAATTTAAAAAGGGTTAAATTTGGTTTTTTTTATTCATCAGATTTTAGTACGGTTAGGTTTGGTTAGGATTTATAGGTAGGTGGAATTAAGTAAAAACGTCAAACTTGGTATAACTTTGGTACTTTTTGAGTTAAATCATACACTTACGTACAAACAGCACGGGGTCCGCGATCTACCGCAGGTAAATTACCTATCTGATAATGTACTGCTGCAATTCAGAATTTTTATTCCGGGCAACAGAAAAGTTAAGATAAATCTAGAACATCATACACCGAATATTAAATAACGCATTGAACAATGTTTGAGTCATATAGAGTTGGTACATTTAACGGGAAACGAAGTGCACGGGATCAGCTAGTTTAATATATATAAAAAACTTTATTAATATAAATATAACGGACTGCTCACTTTGTGAGCTGCCTTACGACACAGTTTACTTTTCAATACTCTTGTACATAGTTTGTATAATAGAATAAAATATAGATGGATATAATTAAAATAAAATAAAGATAATAATCAAATTAAATTAATAGTTAAATTTAATTATTGGTTTATTTATTATTATTATTAATGAACTATGGAGCTAACAAGGGATATAATGAGGGGGGGGGGGTGTTGATGCCGCAATGTCAGGTGTGTATTAGATCCAACATTTTTATAACGATTCCTCTAGCCTACCAAAAATAAAATATAAGCACTGATATACCAAAGTGTATTAAATCAAATATTGAGTCAGTATCTTTTTTAAAAAAATGTTACATATCTATAATTTTTTGATGTGATTTTTAGAAAAGAGTAAAGATTTGTTTAAGATGTTCGAAGTTTTTGATGTATCTAGTGATAATTTTTTTAATTTTAAACTCCCTAATTAATATTCTTTTTAAACCACTACAGTTACTTTTAAATTAATAAGTCAAAAATGGTGTCCAAATTTCCCTCTACAAAATCCTCGATTATCCCCAAAAAAAATAATAACCAATCATTTTGGCGACCTTATTTCCTGCTTAAAAGATTTTCCAGTATCTTTTTTTCAGAAACATTAAAGACAATACCTTTAGTTCTAATTATGTGACTTATTGGTGGTTAGCATTGGTGTTCTCAGGATTCTTCATAGGGAGGGAAGGATATACAAATTAATTTCAAAGTGGACCATGGAGGGGAGAAATTTATCACTAAAAAAAATGCCATGGTGGATCCCCCCCGTTATAACGCCTATAGGAGGATATACAAATTAATTTCAAAGTGGACCATGGGGGGGAGGGAAGAAATTTATTACTAAAAAAAAATGCTATGTGGGATCCCCCTTGAGAATGCCCATAGTGGTTAGTGTAGAAAAAGAAGAAATTAATACAATTAACCATGCAGTGAATAGCAAAGATATCCTCTTATATAATATTGTTTTATGATAATAAATGCTTTTGGTTTTATAACTTCATATTTGGAACCACAAAAAAAAAAAATAATATAGGTTCATTATAAGTACACATAATTAGACAAAAATATAGTAGAAATGGTGATATTTTCATACTGATATTATATTAAATAAATTACACAAATATTCTATACTCTGCTCCACATTTTACCCGACCAAAATTCATCCCATTCAACGGTAACAGTTGTAAATGTTCGGTGCGTTCGGTGCGTACATATGGCTATAATTTATATTAAATATTGTATATAATATTTATTATAAGCAACTAGTGTCATGGCACAAAATGGAGGAAATTGTGCCTCAGACTGGTCGCTGCCAAGAGTCTACATGCCCATAACGGTAATGTTATCTCCTGGAGCAGAGTATATAGTTTTTTAAATTCTACTCAAGGGGTATGTCCCCTCCCTGACACCCTACAGAGGACACCCATAAGTTTGGCCTGGTAATGATTTTAAATGGCCAGCAAAAATATGGGACCAACAATAAAAAAAAAATGAAATTACTCTACTGGAGCTAACTATATGTTTTATCATTAATTAGAAATATTAAATAGTATTTATATGATGGGTGAATTTTTTTTAAGTAATGACTTACCTATAGCATTATATGCTTATATACTATAATAGTATTTATGTATGTACATAAAAATAAAATAAAATATAATGTATAATATTTATACTATTAAATATAATATATTAATATAATAAAAATATTTAACAAAATAATTGTATTTTAACTTATAAAAATGTATAAATTGTTTGGATATTTATATTTATAAAATATAAATAACTCTAAATAATTAAGACCACTCAGCTACTCAAATGAATCGTAGCAAATTTTTTGTTTGGCTAGCACACGTGTCAATATATTGACTCTGTGTGTGTGATTTATACTTGTATGCTGATTGTCAATTCAATTGCCAACCAATGTGTGATGTGTCATGAAGTTTAAAATAAAGTATCATCAAAACAAGATACAATTTTAACCATACTTAATTAGGATACAACCTACATACTAAATTATATATATTGAAAAAAATAGGGAACTGGTCTGTTATCATCCACCATAGTACAGCTAATATATTGACATATTGTTAAAATTATATATTATTTATTTTGAATTAATTATTAAAAAATTAAAAAATATATTAAATTATTAAAAATTATATAAAAGACAATGATCAAATATTAAAAAGGTAGACAACTGGACAAGTGTGAACTGCTCTGCTGTACAGTAATTGTCGAGCATGTCGTTGTAATGGATGTGTTATATTTGATTACAATGATAAATCATTGTATACAAAAAACAATTCTGAGCCTAAGCATACTTATATAAAAAATAAAATTTAATAGATGAAAAAAAAAATTACTAAAAATCGAAAATATCTTATGGCTATAAATAGCATGACTTGAACATTTTCTTTTTGAAAAAAGTCGAAAAACTTGTTGGGAA